ATTCACAGTACTATTATTTGATACTCTTTCAACGTTTGTGGATGGTTCAATCTCCTTTTTCGTCGTAATGACAATCTTTCTTGTGCTTAATTACTCGTGTCGAAGTGTGTCTCTCAGATCTAGCTATATGCAAACTCAGTGTGCGTGCATCTGAAGTTACCTTATTCCAGGTGTTTGATCAGTCTAATATTGTCTTATTATCACCAAAGTCGGGAGACGGTCGGACACCCAAGATCACTCAACTACGTGCACGCAAACCTGGCGGTCCCGTGCCGGTTAACCGCGTGGGCTCCTGCTCCTAGGGTCTCTAACCTGCGCGGTCGGGTCCATGGCGTCGCGTGACCCCGCGCTTTAGTTTTCTAACTGGTTGGTATGTATCGTGATCATGTCGTGTTTCCGTCGTTAATGTTCACTTCTACATTTGTATGTACATCACGGCAGATTGAATCTGGACAACTTCATATTTAAACATTATTTTATGCATTAGATTTGTATTCAAACCCCTAAACGGCTAAGCTCCAAAACGATCAACTTCCTTTTTTAGTTACGTTTGCCAACTGATATCAGATTATCCCACTGTTAAAAATTCTTAACTTTTTGCAAACACTTTTACATATAAGTACCAAAAGGGTGTTTTATAAATCATTGCGTTTCGGCTCTTACAACATGTGTTACATCTTTAAAACGGTTTTAACCACTAGGAGGGGGGGGGTTAGTGGATGATCTCACCTGGGGTTGTAGGGCATGTTTTGATGCAATGGCAAGGTGTTCCCTCAAAACAAAAATAAAACACCCAATCGACTAGAAAGCCTCCAATCTTCTCCAAGAAATCAAACTAGGGTTTGGGGGGTTTGGTGGCTGTTAGGGTTATTAGGAAAACTGAGAAAACGTGAAAAACTTATATATATATCAGGGGAAAATGGATATGGGTTTAGAAATCCGAAACCAACTCAAAATAGGAGAAAAACAAACTGCAGGTTTCGCGGTCGACCGTGGCGGTCGACCGGATTGGAATTTTCCAGCTCCGCATATGTTTAGCTATTTGTGCATGTTTCGACTCTTTTCTCTCACATGTATGAACTCGTTCATACTCAAAACACATGGTATTATACTCATATACCATTTAATGATATTTATCATACTAAATATCCACATATCATAATTTATCATACATTAATTATATTATTCATAAATTATCGGGGTTTTACATGCGAAGATATTTATCCAGGAGATCGTGAGATTGTACAGAGTCCCAGAGATAATCGTATCAGACCAAGGCTCAGTTTTTACTTTACGCTTTTGGAGGAGCTCCCAGAATTCTTTCGGTAGCCAGTTTTCATACTCTAGTGTTTTCCAGCCGCAGACAAATGGGCAAACAGAAAGAGTTAACCATATATTAGAGGACATGTTGCGGGTATGTGTCATCGACTTTCAGGATAGTTGGGAGGACCACATCCCATTAATTAAATTTGCTTATAATAATAGTTGTCAAACAACTATTGGGATGGCACCATATGAAGCATTGTACGGGAGACCTTGTAGATCACCTATTTGTTGGGCAGAATCAGAGGATAGCTTATGGCTTTGACCGGAGTTAGTAAGACAGACCACAGAGAAGGTGATAGTGATTCGGGAGCGCATTCTTACAGCACAGAGTCATCAGAAGAGTTATACAGATCAGAGACGATGACCATTACAGTTCTAGATTGGGGACTATATATTGTTGAAAATATCACTAGGGAGTTTAATGATTTAGTAGATGGGGAAAGCTTGTCCCGAGGTATATTGGTTCGATTAGGATAGTGGAACGCATTGGAGCCATTTAATATTAGCTATATATTCCAACATCGATATCGAGTATACACGATATCTTTCATGTTTCGATGCTTAAAAAGTATCTACCTGATGAGGAGCAGCAACGAGTGTTAGACGTGCCAGAGATTGAAATTCAAGATGATTTAACTACTATTGAGATTCTTGTATGTATTCTTGCTAAGGAAGACAAAAGACTTAGAAACAAGGTGATTCCTCTAGTCAAAGTTCAATGGAACCAGAAAGGAGCTGAGAAGGCTTCTTGGGAGCACGAAAAGGATATGCGTCGTGACTACCTGCACCTGTTTGAATAGGTAAATTGTTGATTGATCTGATTTACTTTTATTTATGATTTGGTCATGTTTATATTTAACGATAGAATGTGGGTATTAACACTTAGCTGCTAATTATTCGGAACACATGTTATATATATGGGGGGGGGGGGGCCTTTTGGGGGGGGGGGGTCCTTGTTTGGATTTTTCACCTGACGTACTGGTTTCGCTTAGTTAGGAGTTAAGTAGGAATACTCGCATTCGAGATGGTTAAGTGTAGATATTGATATGTTTTGTATCTGAAGATTAATGGTACGAGATGTGTACGGGAGGGTTTTCTTACTTGGATTATTCCTTCTTGGTGCTTTTCTCATATTAGTAATCCCTAAGATATAATCACGAAATTTCGGGGACGAAATTCTTTTAGGGGGGAGGGGAATGTAAAACCCCGTGAATTTGAATATTATGTGATAAATAATAATAATTATGTTATATGGTGATAAATAACATATTCTAATATTTGAGTATGCTAGGGATTGATTTGAGATCAATCCAATGTATATATATGAGTAAAGGTGGAAAACATGCACGAAAACATGCACAAACCTATTTCTGGGCTGTTAGTAGTCGACTACTACTCAGAGTAGTGGACTAACCAGCTTAGTAGTCGACTAATCTTAGTAGTAGTTGACTATCAGGGTTGTTTCTAGTTTTTCTTTCAGATTTTAGGTTGGATTTGGTTTATATCCGAACCCACGTTGTTATATCTCTTTTCATACACGTTTAAACCCTATTTTCAGAGAGAAAATTTGTGAGAACAGCAGCCACCTTCCTTCTCAAACCCTAAACCCTAGTTTGTGAGTTTTGAGAGAGTTTTGAGGCTTTTGTCGAGAGGAAGGCGAAGTTTTGGCATCATGGTTGAAGAAGGATCTTGCACATACGTGTTTGAGAATTCCAGCAACACTCTAAGGCAAGATCATCTTCACCCGTTCCTGCACCCTTAGTAATTATAAGATTTAAAGTGATTAAATTAATGTTCTTCATGTCTTTTCTTAGTTTCATAAAATAAAAAGGTAGATTTTTGATAATAGATCTGTGATCCCTGTTAGATCTAATGTTTTTCCTTGCTGTTTATGTTAGAAATATGAATGATCATTAGGGCAAATATTAATTTTGTTTTAATTTGATAATCAAAGTCTAACTCATGTGTAAAACCATAATTTGATAATAAATTAATTCTTATTGTAGATTAATCATGTTTGAACCTTAGATTGTCAGATCACAGTGACATGAACGTGTTTAAATCAGTTAATCCCTGTTTCAAGTTCATATATAATTATGTCCGAGTTAATTAATGTCTTAAATTCATGTGTTATGTGAGAATATGCATAATTAAGATGTTAAACCTTAATTTGTGTTAATTCAAGAGCCGAATCATGTGAATTAATCTATGATAATTGTTTTCAAAGGACAAAAACCCTTTTTCCTAAGTTGCATGTGAATTAAACAAGTTTTATTTGAGAATAAAACACTAACACATCAAAATTCTGAGATTGTGACTTCTATTAAACTCAGAGTAGTCGACTAACGGAGAGAGTAGTCGACTACTCCTTACCTGATATGTTTCACAGAGTCTGTTTCATAGCAGAGTAGTCGACTAATGTTAATAGTAGTCGACTACTAACACTTAGTTAGAATCTTCCAGGTTTTGGATGAACTCAGAGTAGTCGACTACTCAGGCTAGTAGTTGACTACTAAGACTTGATTTCTTGAGTTTTGTTTTGTATTTATTAGAGATGTGTTTGTGGGGTTCGAGTCGCACTTCCTCACATGTAATTACATGAATACATAAGTACAGTGTCATTGGACATACATTAGTATCCCAGAGGGGGGTTTTGACAAGAATTGTGTTGTTTATAATAGAGTTAGAGATTGTTGATGCACACGCTGGACATCATTGATGAGAACAGCTCAGTACTATATGGGATAGTGCGTTGATATACTAGATTTACATAGTTTATATATGAGATGGATATCGTTGATGAACTCAGTTCAGTACTACATAAGATTGTGCGTCCATATTCTATATGTACTTGCCATTGAGTCGAGTTTGAATGCTTTGTATAGCAGTCTGTCCGCACGAGTGTACGATGAGGTTTGTGAGCCATATAATTATGAGGCTTGTGAGGCCATCTATTTGGATACCTATATGGTAGGCCGTCCCGCACTCAGGCTACACGCTGAGATCGCGATGAGACTAATGAGCCGTGTACACTATTTAGAACACTTACAGGATAGTCCGTTGCTTTGAAATTATTGATTGATAGCCTTAGTCATTGGGTGGATGTTCGTTATGAATATGGCACGTCTTTGAGCTATAGGACCAAGATACTAGCCTCTTAAAAGTATACAAGATTATATATTAGTATTTATTCTATCTTCCCAGTGACAGTGGAATATATTATAAATACGATGTATTGATGCTTTTATTTCCTTTAAGGCTTTATTTACTTTATAGTTTTGGATCAATGATTAGCGATTCACAATTTGAGATAATGGTATATACATGAGGGTTTTCTTGTTTGGATCATTTCGCTCGATGTACCAGTCTCGTATTGTGGGTTCGTAATTGTTGATTTCCTTTAGCCTATTTATTCTTAGTTCAGTATTAATATCTAGTTACCTACAATTTGAGAAAATGATATATATTTGAGAGTTTCCTTATTTGGATTATTTCGCTCGACGTACTACATCTTGTGTTGTAGGTTTTTAAATGTTAAACCCACTTAGATAAATAAAAAATGATCTAGGTAGACTAGGCTTATAGATAGAGCCTCCACTCCATCTAGTAGCCCTTCCCCTGAGGGCGGATGGAGGTGATCTTGCTGTAGTGCTCTGATGCTCTTTATGTGATTCTTTTTTGTTGTTTTCTATTCTTTCAGGTAGTACAGAGCTTCGGAGAGCCGTAGGATGACGGAGTTCTTGCATTGCCGCCGTCACACGAGTTATTAGTAGAGGCTCCACAGTAGATTTCTTTTACGATTTCATTTAGACTTTAGAGTTTTATTTCATATTGTAAATGCAGTGTGTCTTAGTATGATTTTTAGTTGATTCATGTTGAGATATTTTCATTATTCTAGATATTAGATGTATTACAGTTGAGACATAGTTTTATTTATGAGATCTCTCTTTCTATATCATGTCTATTATATTTATTTCTTTATTTTACCTGTTTTCTATCTATACTTCTTTTGATTTCACTTGAGGATATTACTGTGATTGGTGAAACATGTTATTACATAGTGTGGGTGCATGATAGGTTTAACATATCTGAGTTCACCTTCGACTATAGCCATGTGTGAAAACAGGGGTGTCACAACAACGTGCACAAACTGATTAGCCTCGATCGGTCGACTGATACCCTATATCGGTCGACCGACTAAAGAGGCAATGCAATGTTCTGAAGAAATGATCGGTCGACTGATCAATGGGGTCAGTCGACCGACCTGAACACATAAACACAAAATTCCATATTTCTATTGTTAATTGTTTTTCTCAAAAACTCGTGAATTATTAACATAGGATATAAACTACGTCTAAGATATTGTATTAACTTAAGAGAGATCTCATCCAAACAAGTTTACATCAACAAAAACATAGTTTTGGGATCAAAAACTCCCTAAACATAACTAATCTAGTTTAATTTTGTGTAATTAGGGTTCCAAACCTAACTAATCCATTCTTTAATAAATCATTAGGGTTTTAGTCATCAAAACACATCTTTTCTTTATTTAGTGTTCAGAACTACAGATCTTATTCATCAAATTAGGGTTTAAACCATGAAAAACTAAAGGGATGGGTTTGGGAATGTAAAACCCCATAAAAATTGAAAATATTATAGAAAATAAAAATAAATAAGTTTTATTATGGTTGATATTATTCTTGGATGAACGAGTATGTTTGTAATTGACTTAAGATCGGTTACATACATATATGAATATTTATATAAGTATATATGTACATGTAAACTGTCGAATCTGCTTCAGTGTGTTGGTCGGTCGACCGACCCTAAATATCGGTCGACCGATTGCCAGCTGACGAATTTGGTTTGTTTTCAGGTCGGGTCTGCTTTGTACACACACACACACACACCTACACACACACACACACACACACACACACACACACACATGTATGTGTATGTGTGTGTATATACCTGTCTTTCTTCTTTTTTCTTCTTCATCCCTCACGTTCTGAGTAGTAACCACCCCCCTCGAAACCTTAGAAAATTCTATCTTGCTTTGGGAGAAGAATTATGAAGCAGCATTCGAGAGGAGGGAAAGATCTTCGACTTTGGTGAAGGATGATCGAGTCTCTCTTGCATTTGAGAGATCAACACATATTCTTTTGAGTTAAGACGAGTTTCATCTCCTCCAAACCCATCCCCGTTTTCTTTGTTTTTATTGGATTTTAAAACCTATTTTATGTGTAAAGATCACCCATTTATTCTATATGACATAAAGATTTAATATTTCTGATTTAAAACGTTGTGAAACAAATTCTTTAAATTGGGTTGAAGGTTTGAAGTAAATCTAACATGAGATTTTTGTTAATCTACATGTTTTCATGATGAATTTACAAACATAAACATGTTAGGGTTATTAGAATCCCTCAAATTTTATATTTGTGTTTTTATATATCAGAGTAAACCCTAATTGCACTAAATTGAGATTTTAATATATGAGTTTCTTTGAAAATTTTTGACTTTGATGAATTTTTGAGAAAATCTAACATTTTTTATCTGTAACCGGGTCGGTCGACTGATCAGAAGGATCAGTCAACCGAAACTAACTTTTCTCAGGAGTGAAAACTTTTCTGTAGTCGGTCAACTAATCAAGAAAATCGCTCGACCAATTAGTTAGCAGGAAACTGGGTTTTGTGCATGTTTGTGCACGTCGCCGCTCGGTCGACCGATGAGGTATATTGGTCGACTAGTCTAGTGTTGTTTTGTACACCTTGATCTTTCCCTCGTGCTTTTGATCGTGAGCACGAAGTGCGAGTCACGCGTCAATACATGTGTGAGACCATGAGAGGGAACATACAGGATGTGAGCACACATGAGCCTATTGATATGCATAGTCTAATGTTTTACGTATGTCATGATAGAGAGTGACGATTATTTTGGTTTACAATAGTTATGGATGCATGAGTGCATTAGTCCGTGCACCACTAGAGATCACGGGAGACTACACTCTGAGTGCATTAGTCCATGCACCGTAATGAGGACATGGTCGACTACACTTCGTGATGCATCGTTATTTTAGCGGTTGAGTGCGCATGTCCATGTACCACATGATATAGTGAGCGACTGCACTCCGAATGTGTTAGTTCGTGAGCTATATGATAGTGTGGATGACTACACTCTACATATTTAGGAAGCCTAGAGCTCAGATGAGTACTATTTGTGAACATAGACAAACATTTGACATTCTTATACGACGATGTATATTTTAACGAAGCTTTCACAGGTTTGTAATTTTGCTTCCGTGCCACCTACCCAAGGATAGCGTGAGATACTATGATGCGACATATACTAATTTTCTTGGATGAAATGTTGATGGCATATTTTTCTTTGCTATTTATTTATTTATTTATAGGATTTAGAGTTGATATTTAGTGATCCACAATTTGAGATACATGGTATATATATGAGGGTTTTCTTGTTTGGATTATTTTGCTCGATGTACTCATCTCGTGTTGTGGATTTTTAAATCTTAATTCCTCTTAGCTCAGGATATATGAATTATATATTTTATGATTAGTATTTTTATACACCTAACTCCCTTCCCCTTGGGGGCGGTGGAGATATTCTCGCTAGCGCTTTGACGTTCGTTATTTCCATCTTTTTTAGGAAGCGAGCCAGGATTTTGGAGAGCCGTAGGTTGACGGGGACTCAGTGTAGTTTTTTGTCAATTATAAGTAGTTAATTAGCGCTCCACAGTAGACTATTTATGAGTTTAGTTTTCTTTTAGCGATGCATTTCATTTTGGAGGCTGAGTGCCTATGTATTTTTCAGTTGACTCTCATGTATTAGAGATTCCATGTTCTTATTTTAGTTTACCAGATGTATTTTCGTTTCTTCTGTTGGAATAAAATTATAGTTATTATTGGATGTCTCTTCTCTATATTATGTTTCTTGTTTTGTAATCTTTGATATATTTGCTTGTACCCTCACTTCTTATTTTGACATATGATATTAATGTGATGTTGAAATATGTTTATGCACAGTGTTAGGTGCAAGACATGTTTGACATCTTTGGGTTCACCTTGAACTACAACCTTGTGTGAAACCAGGGGCGTCACTAGGAATAGATGAACTTGCATTCCAAAATCGTTTTGATCTCCCAAACGTCTGAGGAACTCGATCCTCCTTCAAAAGTTCTCCAGAAAATAAAGTTGAACAGCTAGGGTTTTGAGGGGTGATTTATCGACTTTTACAGATTCAAAAAAGATGAGTCTTTTTATAAAACTTCTTTACACAAAAGAAATAGACCAAAAATTCCCTAGAAACACACACATAGGATGTTTATCACCCGCTACTTACGTGGGGTCTTTGTTTGTGTCGGGGTTTATCCATGGAGCATCGCAGATCAGATCTGGTTGATTTCATTGTCTCGCAAAGGAAAGAAGAAATTGAAGTGAATGACTCAGTAAGGTGAGGTAAACACTTTTGTCAAGATCAAATCAAAGTTTGATCTCAATGGAAGTAGATAACGGGTGTTGAAGGTTTGTAGATCTGCCAAACTTCTCCTCTTTATGCTAAAGAACTTGTAGATCTCTCTTCCTCCTCTCTAAAGTTCGTGTTCCTCTACTATTCAAAATGACAGGGCTTCGCCAACAACTCTAAATTCCTGATCCCCCGTATATAGGGGCCCTATTTATAGGCTTCAGAAGCTTTATTTTTGGATAAGAATGGATGATTTGATCTCATCTTTAATTATAACCATTTTTCACGTTCAAAGATAGCCTCAAATTAGTTGGGGAGGTTCTGGGATGAAATCTTATCGAAAAATGATCAAACACAGCTTTACCGGGCGAAAGACACCGCTAGTGTCTCGCCCTTGGGCCGAGACACCAATGGTATCTCTACCATTTGGGCGAGATGCCGTTGGCGTATTTCCGTTAGTTTGCCTCTAACTCTCCTGTCCGATTCCGGAATAACGTAATCTAAAATGTGTTAGAAAGATGGAGAAGAGATCTATAACCTTCCATAGGAGAAATACACATGGAGTGAGCGAGACACGAGTGGTGCTTTGCTCTTTATGGGTGAAGTATAACTCCCGGTCGAGTTGTTTTTCTCGTTATTTTGGTTGACTTGTATGCTTTGCCAACTCTCTTCATGTGCTCTTTGTGGGTGAAGTATAATGACGTTCATCATCTTTTTTTTCGTCTCGAGCTATGTGCGGGAACCTATAGGTAATTTTTGACGCCTACAGATTTCACCTCCAAAGTGTTTTAGTCTCGTTCTTTTATAGAAGAGCCTAAAATACTTTGGAAATGATAGGCCCAACCTTCAATCTCTTTAGTATTTTATCAAATAGCTAAAATTCTTGATTTCTACAATTCTCAGTCTATTCAGTATTTTGTTGAATAGCTAAAATTCTTTCAGTGCCGTGTTTATCGTCTGACCGTTATCAAAGTCTTGAAATAAAAATGATATATTGGTTTCTGATTGTAGCTCATGTTATTGAATCAACGTTGAACTAATTATCTTTGTCGGTGGCGCATATTTGAACTACGATTGAAGTCCCGGAAGTATCCTTTGACCTGGAATTGATCTGAACCATGTTTCAGTGAAATTTGTCGATGCGTTGACTAGCGTGGACCTTTATTGCAATGCGTTGGTCAGCGTTGACTTACATCGCAATGTGTTGACTGGTGTTGACTTATGGCTACACGTTGACCAACG